GTTACTTGGTCAGCTAAGACGTCCTTTTCTTCTCGAAGAAGTTTGTGTATCTGGTTTGACTTTATACGCTTTTAAATGGGATGAAAATAATTTGTAAAAATTAGCAAACATACATTTTGTTTCCCTTTGATTCCTTTCATTTTTAAAGACACGGCACAACATTTACTAGAAGCTTCTTTTTCATTCAGTATATACATATTTTTTTTTGGACAATCATCACTGACCATCATGTAACAGGATTCAGTGTTCTGTGCCTTGGAATTTGGTGAGTGACTCCTACTCCCAAAAAATATTTTGAGGTTTCTATTTACAAAATGTAAATGTACCATACTCATCATTCCTACCTCTGACATAAGTTTGAAATAGGCGTCATCTTTCTCTCTAAGTTGCTGTAAAAGTCTAACATTTTGTTCTTGCATGTCTTCAAATGCTTGACCTGTAACGTCCATCTCAGATAATAATGCCTCTTCTTCCTACAAATATACACATCATGGTTAACTTTCTCATGTAACAAGAACTAGTATCGTTCATCTACTCTCTACAAAAACATTTACAGATGAGCTGGGTCAAGATATTATACTAATGAACATGTCAAAGTTTGAAGATTATTGGATGCTAAGGGAAGAGTAGGAAATCAAACGGGCGGTTCACCGCGGTAATCACCGCGGCTCTCCGCGGTACACCGGGGAGAGCCGCGGACTGCTTATAATTAGGGGTCTCTACTGCGGTGGCCACCGATACCGGTTGCAACCGCGGTCGTAGGAAAAGTGTGAAATACGTACTTAACAGTTTCCTTTGTGATTCCATGAGTCTTTGTTTCAAATACATGTAGCTGTTTTTAAATCGAGCAGGTTACGAGCATCGCTGGCATGGAAATACTAAGCATATAGTAATATTATCGGCCCACGTATTTTATTAATACTGTATAAAAATCCATAAGTCCAATGCTGTATACGAACTGTTGTTGCGTGAAACAATGTTGTATTTTATGCATGTATTTATCACCAATTCCAAGAGTAAAAGTCGTAACTTTCGAAGGTACGAGTATTATGACTCGTCCATACATTTCACTTACGTTTGCTACACTTGAATAAAGTCTACCACATGAAAAGAATGTTATTTACGAAGTTTTAAATAGCCAAGCCTTCCTGATTCGAGCCTCTTGTTGATTTGACAACGGTGGGTATCATTAATATTTATTCTTTGCCTGTATCGCATTCCAGACAAAAAGTTCAAGATCGGTAAACAAGAAATGGACGAACTAAAATGTCTCCTGTGTTTCACGTGCGGCATGATTATTAAAAAAATAGAGTTAAGCGGTCATGTACGTTCTATAAATCTAACCTTGCACACATAATCTTGTATTGACGTGTTTTTTTTTTTTGGTCAAAAACCACGTTGCCTTTCAGTTAACTTCTTCGCGAGAGTTTACCGATTTTTTGAACAAATGTTAAGTAACTATATCGTTTTGCGTCAAACTGGGTGGCCCGAATTTAAATGTCAGTGCGTGAACTCATTGAGGTCATTGCCCATTTGCCGCACGTAATTCAAACACGT